TTTTACTCATCCCTTGAGAAAGGTTTTCGTCATATTTTTCATTTCATATATGTTCTTATTTTCTGCCACAATGATAGCAAACACAGAGTAACAGGGCTGATCTGAGGGGGAATGCAATTAGTTCCAAACTACTTTTTTTTTCAAATGAATAAATACTCTTGCTTTGTGTTTTTGTTTGGCTACTATTTTGGGCTAAACCACAGATAACTAGGTACAGAGAATACACACCTATTGGAAGACCGTGCGCTTTCAGTTCTGGTATTTTGTGCCAGAAATATATTTACTTGTGAAGAGCCCTAACAAGCACTGTGGAGGAATTCCTATCGCACAGGGTCTTCCTTTCTTCCAACATGAGCGTTGTACATGAGGGCAAGGGGGCAGTGTGTCCCATAGACACCATCACTACAGTGGTAGCAAAACGGGAGTGCCGATGGAAACCAGATCAAGTCCCTTCAAACGCACGCACCCCCACAGGTGTCCATCGGCACTCCCGTTTTGCTACCACTGCAGTGCTAGACACCACTTAAGTGTACCATTGACTCATTGAGTGTCTCTTCTGTACCTTACTACTCTGTGGCTAAACTGAAACACAATTTTCTATGAAGTGGTCCCAGCTCCCATGGTGTGTGTGTTTTTAGCAACAGTAGGGCCTACCTTGAATTCTAGAAATCTTTAACTGAATGGTGATATTGTTTATACCTTATAATTTTTAGCTTATACAGCAGCAACTTGCCAAGATCCTTGATGAGGAAGAGTACTTCTCAAGTTCTCCTGAATTTAATACAACCATTGATTAACTTATACAGGGTGAATTTTAAATGAGTTCCCCCCCTACTTTTTTCTACATTTCTTAAGATATTATCTCCGGACCACGTCAGATCATTGTTGAGTAGTAAGTACTTCATTTTGACTAGGTATACATTTTTGGCCGCCATCTTGGATCCGCCATATTGGATACAAAGTTTTTTTTTCAAATGTAAAGGTAGGGTTGTGACCCATTATTTCAAACAAGAATTTTACGCTGATTACAATGCCGCAATTAGTTTTTAAAAATCTTGATTCGTTCTAAAGTTATGAGGACTTTTTATAACTTTATTTTTAGCACATTTTAATATTGTGTATTAACAAACTAAGACCATAATCTCAAAATAGTGCTAGATAAACATAAGTATATACCACCATTCATTGTCGACATATTTTCACTTGGTTATGACGGATGTAGTTTTTTCAGCCGCCATCTTGAAGCCGCCATTTTGAAATGTGATCAATTAATTTAAATATGAAGGTGGTGTTGTGACCCATCATTTTGAAGTACTTTTTTATACTGGACTCAATGCTGCAATCCGTTTTTGGTTATCAAGCTTTCTTGATGAAATATTAAAATACTCTTATTTAAAATTTCAATATTTCAAAATCCAAAGATGCAAATGAAAAACGGATTGCGGCATTGAGTTCAGCTTAAAAAAGTAACTCAAAATGATGGGTCACAACACCACCTTCATATTTAAATTAATTGATCACATTTCAAAATGGCGGATCCAAGGTGGCGGCTGAAAAAACTACATCCGTCATAACCAAGTGAAAATATGTCGACAATGAATGGTGGTGTATACTTATCTTTATCTAGCACTATTTTGAGATTATGGTCTTAGTTTGTAAATGCACAATGTTAAAATGCGCTAAAAATAAAGTTATAAAAAGTCCTCATAACTTTAGAACGAATCAAGATTTTTAAAAACTAATTGCGGCATTGTAATCAGCGTAAAATTCTAGTTTGAAATAATGGGTCACAACCCTACCTTTACATTTGAAAAAAAAACTTTGTATCCAATATGGCGGATCCAAGATGGCGGCCAAAAATGTATACCCAGTCAAAATGAAGTACTTACTACTATACAATGATCTGACGTGGTCCGGAGATGATATCTTAAGAAATGTAGAAAAAAGTAGGGGGGAACTCATTTAAAATTCACCCTGTATACAAACAACAATGATTTTCACCTGAAAGCTGACCTAGTAATAGGCCTATACTATACCTTGATACCAATTCTGTATTTCTTTTTCTGTGAGAGTCTAGCCGTTAAGGTTCTACTGAACTGAGTAACTTGGTGTTCAGCTAAAATTTAGAATACTTGCTTTATGAACTAAAGAACACATTAAGAAATTAAATGTGCACCATCTAATTTTAAAAAGTCTACACATCTTGCAAATTCTTACAAATTCACTGCAAAGTAGTTTCGGAAGTATCAGATGGGAGCTCTCTAAACATTAAAAATTGAAAAAAAAAATACTCTACTAAATTGGTAAGTAATCTAGTAAACGATCTTCAAGAATAAATTCCAGGTACAAATTACTGGAAGGTGTCAAAAGAAAAGACAAATACAGATAAAAAATAATTTTATACACCAGAGTCGTACTTCAAAACTGAACAGACAAAATGCGATAAACCGATGCCTCACAGCTTGTTATCGCAGACCCGCTTATCTAGTGACTTGACAAGACTACTGTAATGGAAAAGACGCTTTCAACCATCTCATAATGGCTGTTATAAAGAATAACATAACAGGAGTATCTTAAAGGTGCACTCAAAATATAAGTACAGTACATTCAATTAATGTAGTTATGCTAAAACAATAGTATAGGTTTTAGATTATAAGTGCAAACCTGTTAAGATTAATAGCAAACCTGTTTTTTAGGTTCAAGAAAATTGCAATCTTAATTACCAATAACTTGATGATTTAATGATAATTGAGATGGAGAATGAAAAAAATTACATATTTCATTCATTTTTGGCCCTTATAATATAATTACCTTGAACTCGTTTCTTGGACAATAAACTATGTAGGTATAGACTATTCAATAGTGCAAACAAATAAAATGGATTAAATTTGCCAACCTAGGTTTTTTTTAGCAGTTTATGAACTATTTGGTGCTGTATAAAGTAGGATTATATAAACATTCTCCTTTGCTGGATGTTTTCTTATATTTATAGATTTAGACTATTTATTTATGTGTTTTTTTTTCGTTCAATCAATTTCGACTTTCAGCAGTTCTTTTCTTTTTGTTCAAAATAAAAAAATACCATATAACAAATGCGGAAAATAAAATTCCGTGCATCATTTACTCTGAATAGTTGAGTGTAACAAGTGTTGGCGCATAATTATAGGTATACCATGAAGGACAAAACATAGGAAATTTGGTCTTGTGATGCATGTACCTGGTGACATCCCTGTCAACCTTTGTCACAGTTCCACGCCACAAAACAATGGGGCCAGGAATAGGTCAACAACCTTCTCGTCGAACTGTCAGCCTCTATACAATCCATCGATATATAAACACAAGGAATACAATCTAGGGAACATTGAAGAAGCAATAACAGAGCATTGTTACTCCGAGTCTATTGGGAGGCAGGACAACATAAATTATTGACAAACATAAACAGACAAAATATTCTACTACAACGCGACGGACAATGAAACTGTTTGAGTAGAGTTTTTCACTGATCTGTATATTGTTCTGAACTGTAGCGATATTATATTTCCATAGGCCATAGGGGATCTACTATTTATTCTGTGGTAAGACCTATAACCGGAACCGATTAACGTTTCCGTTTTGATGACTCCAGAAGCCATCGAAGCCATACCATACGTTCAAATTCATTTATACAGGGTGTTTAAGTATGTTAAAATTATTAGATTTTTTTAACGTGATCACGGATTAGGGTAATGGAGACAACATACTATAATTCATCCTACCAAAATAACCAAATAAAAACTACAATTAAGTTTTAGTTTGATTAGTGTTTGTTGATTTGTTGGTGGATGACATAAGATCCTGTGTTTTATAAGGCTAGTTAGTAACATCCAATATTCTTGAAGAAACAATAATGCACTTATCAGCATTTATCGTCTTTATAATCAATCTCCAATCGTCAATGTAGGATTGATATTTACAGGATATCGTTCGTAGATAGTAATGAATATGCGTACCTACAATATTTCAAGGATATTGCATCTAAACATTCTATAAATATCTACTGTAGAACTTTTTAATATTTAAAGAATATATCTTAACAAATATTTTACAGATTCATTAGATAAGCTATTTCAAAAATATATATTTAATTACGTGTAGATATATCTTTAGACAGATTTCAACCTGTTGGGGCTGTTAGGGCTTCTATCATAGATAAAACATACGCTTCCATGTACAGTAGCAGGAAACCTAAACACTCATTAAACGTACTTCAGTAATGAAATTTAAATGGGGAATAAATTTGGCATGTCTTAGTAAAAAGTAAATCGAATATTCGCTTAAACGGCAGTTTGCTGGAGTGGGATATTTGAATTCAATGGGTTTATGAATAAAGGTAATAAAAAATAACAATACAGTGTACTATACATTTTCAAACTCATTTTATGTGATATGCTACAAACTAAGTAACAAAAAAGCTAGCTTCTCCCATAATGATTAAAGTTTATAAGTCTTATCAACTCCCATACAAAACTCTAAAATAAACATTTCAAAAAACAACAATGATCACTTAAGTTTACTATTTAATTATAGATAAGATACAAATGTTATAATTGCCAGTTACAACAAACTTGAAATTTACATAATTCCAATGCAGTTGTCATGAACTTATCATGAATCTGAAACGAAATTCACATAAACTATTTGCTTTAAAAAATAAACGATACGAATACAGTGTCACATTCAATCGCCGTCGTATTTCTGGAAAAACATCATGGTTAACGAAGCAACTGCAAACGAAGGATTCACAAAGGATGTGCGAGAAATCCAAATTACGATTCCGTCGATTCCGATTCCACTGCCACAACACAACTTGCATTTGCAACGGCTGGGCCACAACACAAAAACGCGATCGATTGAGCAGTGGCCGGGTTTGAGCGAGTCCATTGCGGGGGGGCGACGCTCACAGCTCCCTCCCCTCTACTTGGATCGACCCGATTCGCTTTCATTCTCCAATCTCCATCCAGTTGCAACCGTTGATGGTTACACCAGTGTTCTGCTCTTGTGATGTTTTGTGTGCATGTAAACAAGTGTTGTGATTCATAGTTACCTCTCAAGAACATTGTACAGTGATTTAATTTATAAACAATACCATTTCTGTTTTGTTTTCTTGGTTGTTTTGATTGGTAGACTTATTTTATTTTGTCACATGGTTAGAAGAGTCTTGACTTCTGTAGTCGTCAAAGAACTTAAAAGCACTTTATTATTTTATGTGCAAACTTAAATCATGTGAAGGTTAGAGCTAATTATTATTATTATGTGTAATTTTTTATTTGTAGACTAGTCTTGTACTTCATGTTCTAATTATTTTCATAAGTCTTTGTCACTGCTGTTAGCTGTTACAGTTACAGCGTTGGACGACCTTTGTTCCCGTTAAGGCCATCTAGGCTACTCTTTCCAAAAGTAATTTCTCATACAAATTAGTTATGGATTTTAGTATAACGGTTTCCTTAATGTACGTTATAGGTAGGCCTACCTGCTAGATAAAGTTGTAGCAAGCAAGTCTATCTATATTCTTACTCAAAGTAATTAACAGCAGCTATATTATCCCAAGCAAGTTGGTTGCATTTTTGATTAACTTAGTTGCAGCCTTCTGGCACTTCTGACTACACCGACATTCAATGGCCCTTTAGATATTCCTAGTTTTAGTCCAATCTGTTGGAAATGCAATCAGATGAATGAACGAGCCTAAAAGTTGCAAATTACTGTCTTTATCACTAGGCTAAGTTTAAGTTATTTTGTAATGGCAAAGGTTATGATTAGCATAAAATTTTAATCGATGTAAGTTGGAGCATTTTATTATTAAGTAATTTACCTTAAGTTAGTTCACACCTAACTTAATTATAAGTCTTATAAGTCTTATAATTATTATAAGTCTTATAAGTCTTATAGGCCTAGGCTACATCATTGGGATTTAATCTTTTTATGAGTCTAACAGTTGCCCCTTTTAACTTAGATAAGTTGGCTTTTGGAATCCCAAAATGGCTAAACTTAGCCGATTGTAAACGTTTTTAAGATTAATATTGCATTAGCAGACAAGTTGTACTGTAGTCTAATTTATTACTTATTGATTCATTTAAAATTAGAATAGGCCTAGGCCTAAAATACTTCTTTTCATAAGATACTGTAATTAGCTACAATAATTCTCTTCGTGTGAAACCCATGTTCTATAAATGCAATTTATTAAAGTTATAATCCAATCATAAGCAATAAAATACTAAATCTCTACTAAACCTTTTAATATAAGGAGAATATATATTTAGGTTTTTTAATCGTTAAGTTGACAATTACAGCATAAACCTTTAAAAGATGCAAACCCGTTGAGCCGGCATTTTCTTAATCGCTTCCATAGAAGAGATGTGTGTTTTCAGATCATGTTAAGTTTTCCTCTCAATTATTGTACGGTAAGCTTAGCACATGTGGAAGCTAAACCAGTTTTGGATAGCATAAAAAGTGTTAGTTCAACTTTTTTAAGACATTGAAGTTGTCATTTGACATTTCACACATCTCTTCTTACAAACACTCTGATTATTGCCTCATTTATTTGTTGGAATATTTTGTCATTGTGGTTTAAGTTATTTTACATGTTTTATCATATTTTCACTGCTGTCTTTCTCAGGTGAAATTGCTGAGTGACCTACAATACTATTTGTGTAGCCTATCTTTACAGGTGAATTTGTTTCTTCAGAGACAACTGCTAATATATCTGCAAATCTTGTGTGCCACTAAGTTTAAATATAATAAATTCCATCCTACCCTGAAAATAACCCCAAACGGAAATAAACGTCAAGATTGTGGATATTAGTCCACAATGGAAATAATGCATTATCATCACGTCATTTTCAACCATCTAAATTGAAAAGTTTAAAGTCTTTGTCCTGCTGTTCTTTATAATGCAAACATCTACCCCTAGTAACAAAAAAGTAATGAAATACAAATTAAATGGAATATAAAAGACACAGAATGAAGCATTTTTTGTATCCGGTCGGTCAATTTATACAGGGTGAATAAAAAGTCAAGACCCCCCCCCTCTATTATTTTTCCAAGTAAATATACAGAGATATCCTTTTGGTGGTTGAGCAATCTTAGCAAAAAGTTTCATTTTATCATTTTAAAATTTTTGAGTGTCCCCCCAAAAGGGGGGATTTGGGGGGCAACTCAAATATTTTAAATGTAAACCCCCTTCAAGTGACACCTCATTTTGAAGTGTTTACAAAAACTTAAAGAATGGTGAAAACTAGAGGTCGCTATCTCTTCTCTATCCAAAACGGTAGCCTGTCAAATGTTGTAGAAAATCAATGGTAAAATTGGTTCGTAATGGTAATATTGGCTACCATTTTGGATAGAGAAGGATAGCGAACTCCGGTTTTCACCATTCTTTAAGTTTTTGTAAACTCTTCAAAATGAGGTGTCACTTGATGGGGGTTTACATTGAAAACATTTTAGTTGCCCCCCAAATCCCCCCTTTTGGGGGGACACTCAAAAATTTTAAATGTAATCCCCCAATTTTTTAATACTTTGTTTTTAAGTGTTTACAAAAACTTAAAGAATGGTGAAAACTAGAGGTCGCTATTTCTTTTCTAACCAAAATGGTAGCCAATATTACCATTACGAACCAATTTTACCATTGATTTTCTACAACATTTGACGGGCTACCATTTTGGATAGAGAGGAGATAGTGACCTCTAGTTCTCACCATTCTTTAAGTTTTTGTAAACTCTTCAAAATGAGGTGTCACGTGAAGGGGGTTTACATAAAAAAATTTGAGTGTCCCCCCAAAGGGGGCAACTAAAAATGTTTCAAGGGACACCTCATTTTCAAGTGTTAAAAAAAATTTAAAAATGGTGAAAACCAGAGCTTGATATCTCTTCTCTATCCAAAATTGCAGCCAATATTAACAATTTTACCATTGATTTTCCACAACATTTGACGGGCTACCATTTTGGATAGAGAAGAGATAGTGACCTCTAGTTTTCACCATTCTTTAAGTTTTTGTAAACACTTCAAAATGAGGTGTCACTTGAAGGGGGTTTACATTTAAAATAGTTGAGTTGCTCCCCAAATCCCCCCTTTTGGGGGGAAACTCAAATATTTTAAAATGATAAAATGAAACTTCCTGCTAAGATTGCTCGACCACCAAAAGGATATCTCTGTATATTTACTTGGAAAAATATTATAGGGGGGGTCTTGACTTTTTATTCACCCTGTATATTTCAAATCGTGTGCTATAATTTACAGCATTATAAAAAAATACGCGCTTGAGCTGGTGTTTACGGCGATCGTTTCACGCTCCGCAATAACTAAGATGCCTAACCTTCCTCACCAAAATCACAAGACTAATCACGATCAGACAACTTAAATGAGCAAACTTTAAAAAAAACTCATACGTGAGATGTGTGGAAACGTCACTCTACGTTTAATTGTCCGTGCTCATTTCCGCACAATATTTCATACATAAATACAAGTTAAACGTAGTTCTTCTATTTGTGGGCGAGTAGTCTCAATAAAGAGCCGTGGGTAAAAGAAATCTAAAATTATGGCAAATACTAGATAACTTATCTAATTGTTAGAGTTGAGTTTATTTCATTATTATGTAATGCCGAAAATTGCATTTTCCGGCGAGCGCTCTAGTTTCATGTGTGAGGTAAAGCCAAACACAGGAACAATAAATTTGATAGCGAACTCTCATATTTGCTAATTTATATTTTTAAATATGAAAACAAAGCAAACGAGGGGACCTGGTTGCTAATTTGGGCAAATTAGAGGGCGAATTAATTCAGATTAAAAACGAATAGGGCCTACTACAATAAATATCCTACATTTTTCAAAAATTATGTTTGAGTCAGTAGAGTGAATCAAAGTATAATTTACTAATTAATTATTTTTTCTCTTTTAGATCTACAAAATGAAGTTATATTTACCTACCTCAACCAGATTATTCAGTTTTCATCAACTTGTTTGTCTCTTGTTTACAATCTGTTTAACTGTGGTTAAACAAATTAACGGAAAGATAAGCCGGTCACATTTAAAGTCACATTAAACAATTGTAAAGAAATTTGGACAGCTTCAGTGAACCTTTGACAGCAATCCCAAAAAGATCTGTCGTGAGGGGGCGAACCTTTTTGGCACAATTACTTGAACATGCATGCATGCATGTTTATGGGTATGCAAACATAAACAAAAAGTAAACATTATTTAACATTGGTTTAAACTGTTTAAACCTCATGTCAATGAATGCTATTAGTATAGGATTCGGGCCAGCAACGTCATTTGTTTATGTTTATGATCCATACTGGTTCTGTTTAAGTATTCGTGCTTTTTAGTTACCATCCGTCACTCCGTTAGGTCATAAGTTTTACAATGACACATCAATATTAAAAATCGGTTGAGTAGGGCGGCTGAAAAAGGAATGTTACAAGGAAAACCCTCATTAGGACATAGTTCTAAGTAGGTCTAAAATAAATGACATAGGCTATAAAATCCTACCTGGGAATGTAAAAAAATATAAGATACAGGCTATGTTTAGTGTGCAATCAAAACACACTACTGTATGTGGTCGCAATACACACAAGATTTTTCCTACGACCATAATACAAACAAATTAACTTTTTGGATGTAGTGTCTATATAATCTCATTTAGGTTATATTTTTTAATGGTTATGCCATTTCTATTTCTTATCGGTTGTTTACTAATAACGTACTGGATCCGTGGCTGCGGTTTTTATAAAAAGAGTAACAAGGAAATGAGCTGAATTACCGGGAATGATCGATTACCGCTCTAGAGCGGCAATGTGATATTTTGCGTACTATTTACAGGTATGGCAATGTAATAATTTCCATACAGAAGTAGGAAACGTATTATTCACACTCACTCTAAATAAAACTTCCTACTCTTCATATTTTTCCTCAACCTGCAGACAATAGGCTACAGTATTTATGACTAATATTTTTCAATAGAATGGCTAGGCTAGATGCAATTTTTAACTGTTACGTCTCGTTCTAGAACTGGCGTATGCAATAAAATAGTATTTCCACACGTTTTTACGCATATTTACTTATACTGTAAACATTTACTAAATTGTAAATTACAAAATATGTTACAATGTCGATCGATTTCGACCCATCGTCATCAGCCTTTATTTATTAAACGTTTTCTAATAAAATTTGTACAGTACGGCTTTAGTATAGACTATGTATTGAAACGTGTTTAAAGACTATTACGTTGTATTAATAGT